CCATGAGTCACTCTCAGGGCGTAAGGGCCATAATGCCGAACTAATAGACTCTGGCATAATAACCTAGCCGCCTCTATGACACGAACAAATTCTAAGGGTGGCTGAGGACACTCCCCTCCTGGCCAAGGAGATAAAACACCGAGCTGACCAAGGAGCTCGGCACCACAATACATAATGTATCGAGGGTGCAAGTAGACCAGTAGATTCTGTGATGCTTAGCTCACCTCGACTAACAACCAGAAGACAGTTCGGGCATATGCATTACTACGCCTTACTATGTCAGTCACCTCGGTGTACTCCACAAGACAGTTCGGGCATATGCATCACTATGCCTTACTATGTCAATCACTTTGCACACTCAACTATGATAGCTCGGATGAAACAACACTTGGAAAAGAAAAGTCAATTTCATTAACAATAAAGACTGAGCTCGCACGCTCGGAATACAAAGGCAATCACTTCGGGGGCTCTTCATCTCCGCGCGAGACCTCCTTGGGAGGTTCGGGCTGATTAGGGGTGTCTGCTTCTTTGTCACCGTCCTCCTCCTCTGAATCCGGGTCCTCTATGGCTTGACAAGCTATCTCATCCGTGATTAGCGAGGTGGTCATGGTGCTCGTGTCAAGCTCGAGGTACGTGTGCCTTATCAGCCACCTGTTGAGCTTAAACCCCTTGCGGTAGGCCTCCCCTAGAATGACATCGAATTTGTCAGACTGGATGTACTCCGCGACAGCCTTGATCTTCGTCTCTTCTATAGCCTGAGTAAAAATTTCAGTCTTCTCCTCGATGTCAGCCTTAAGGAACTCCACCTCGTGCAGGAGGGCCTTCTTCTTCTCCTTAAGGCCTTCCGCCTCTACCCTGAGGGCGTCCAGCTCGCCCCTCAACGCACCCTTCTCACGTTCCAGTTTTGCTTTGAGGTCCTCCACCTCACCCCTCAACATGTCCTTCTCACGTTCTAGCTCATCCTTCTCCGCCGTCAACGCCGTAAAAACGCCCCTCTGGGCCATGGCGCTGCTCTCCATCCGGTGGATCTACTCGCGAACTGCCCTCAAATCGATATGGGCAGCGCGGGATGACTCCTCGGTGATCAGAGCCCACTTCAGGTTCCTCTCGGACTGAAGAGCTAGGGCGTGCACGGCAGAGTTCGCCTGACAAAGAAAGTTGGTTAGTACTGAAGAAACATACATATAAGAAAGCCATGAGAAATAAAAGGAGAACTTACCACCATAGTGTGAGTAGCAGCCCGGGCTCTGAGCTGAGCAGGGTTGAGCATATCGGTCCAGACTGAGATTTCCTCTGAGTAAACGGCCCCTTTGCTTTTCCGAAGGCTGCACTGAGGGACCAAGATACTTTGGCCCCCATCTGGGCTCCCCGAGCTGGAGACCGCCATCTCGGCTGTACGAATGGGCTCGGCGGAGACCTCAGTTGCTACGTTAGCAGCCCCAGTGGCAACCTCGGGCTCAGCTGCTGCCCTCGTAGCGGGCTTGGCCGAGGTCTCAGGCTCCCGAGGTGGTATGGGATCCTCCAAGTCAATGATTGGAGGAGCGCCAGGGAGCTCGGGCTCGGAAGATGGAGCTGGTGGAAGCTTGGGCTTGGGAGTGGGGGCTGGCGGTGACTCGACACGAGCTCTCTTAGCAGCCCGCTTCTTCCTCCCCTTCATGTGCTTGAAGAGCCTTTCTCCCTTAAGCTTATCCACCTCCATGGGACCTGCAATAGAGCTCACCATTAGTACTCGAGTAAAAGAAAGAAGTAGGCCAAACAACTAAGGTACTAACTACCTACTCGGGCTCAAGCCGGCCTGGATGAGCATGCTCTCGGAGATGTAATCCTTGTAACTACACCCGACCTTAGCCCACGATTTGAATGTCTCCCTTGTCTTCTTGTCAAGGATGATGCCGGGGTCTTGGATAGCCGCCTTCCAGTGAGTAGGGAAGGGCCACCCCGCAGGGTTCCGGACTAGGAAGTAGTCCTGCTTCCAGGCAGGGATCTTGCTTGGAAGCTTATGCATTAACTTGAAGCCCGGGCGAGGGGACAAGTAATAGGCCCTCCTGTGCTCGGGGAGAACGCATGAAGCGCTATTCTTGATTGTGAGGATGGAACAGAATATGTCCAAGTCAAGGGGGAGGACATACTCGTAGAAGAGGGAGATGGTTCCGACCACGTTACAGACCGAGTTCGGGTGAAGCTGGTATATCGTAACATTAAAGTGGTTCAGGACCTCCACTATGAGTGGGTGGAAGGGAAGGCGGAGCCCGACTATGAGCTACTCCCGAAAGATTACGACCTCGTCAGGGTCGTGCTCCCATGGGAAGTTACCTGCAGGTAAACTGTAGGTGTACTCCCCGAGCAGGTTGTACTGCTGAATGAGGTAGCGGAGCCTCTCAGGGTCATGGTGTAGGGTCCAAACCTGTTCGGCATCCGACCTTGGTGAGAGGTGGACGCCAAGTTACCCGAGGCCTCCCGCACCTCAGGGAACTGGACTCTAGTAGGGTCACCCTGAGCTGAGGTACCCACCTCGGGCTCATCTAGCCGGCTATCAAAGGAAGACATAACTAACAGAACTGAAGAAGAGCTAGGGTGACTCACCAAAGAGAGATGGACCGGACTGGGAAGAACTGACCCGAGCTGGAGGCTTTGGACGCGAGCTCAAAACTACGACTGAGGATTTGTGGCGAAGGAAAATGGCCAAGACCCCCGCTATTTATATCCACTATACGCGGGCGTCAACGGTTGAGATCGAAACGATCTGACGGTCCTCATGAAAACCGATTGCGCGACCTTCGAGGCAAAATCGGTTTAGCACATTTTTTGACGTCCGCGGAGTCCATAAGTCGCGTGACGTCCGCGTGTAGACTGTATGCGACCCAAGTGCGCCTGGTAAATCCGAGTAGAGAACCGGTCCAACCGATGAGCTGGCAAAAAAGAAAGCTCAGGCCCCGAGCCAAATCCACCCAGCAGACCGCGGACTCCCCGCGTTGGGCCAGAACCCCTAGCACGGGGAGTGGGGGGCAATTGATGTAGGGTGATTTGGCCCAACCTCGTAGAATGGGGACACGTGGACATGACCTGGCATAAGTGACAACTCAGCGCGACAGCCTGGCCACAACTCGACATAACAAGCTTGCCGAGGCCCAACCAAACTACTCGGCGGGTGTGACAACTCGCCGAGAAGCAAGGCCCAGCTTGCCCCAAGCCTGAGGGTGGAGCGTCCGAGCTCCCCCGTGCAAAGGGACCCGAGCTCCTCCTAAGGGACTCCGAGCTCTCCCTTTCTAAGAAGGGAGCACCCCGGCTTTTGGCTAAGTGTCCCTTGGGAGAAACACCTCGGGACAGCACCGTTGAGACTCCTGTTCGTACTTGCTTAAGGCTCGCCTCCAGTGCGAGCACCTCGGCGTACCTTGGCACCTCGGTGCAAGGCAAACCAGCTCCAGGAGGTTCGATGCAAAGTAGCTTGGCAGCCTGCAGGGGAGATCCTCCTTACATTAGTACCTACCAGATCCGGTGGCAGTGCCTGCATCCCTTGCCGGGCGGCGTTGTGCCTGTCATCTCTGAAAAGCATGGCACGCCTGACGAGTCCATACCCTGCAGCAGCAGCCTACACCTGCCACCTCAGCCCTGACAGTAATGGCTAGGGTAGTGGCGGTTACGCTTGATGTGACTAAGCTCCGGTATAAGAGGACCTCGACCCTCACGAAACAAAGGTATTGAAGCTAGCACTTTCAGCACTCTTAACTCTCTGTGTTTTCTTTGAGTTTTCCTCAGAGTTCTAACTTAGCCAGTGGAGTGTTCCCGCCGGGAGAGCTCCCCGGGAACCCTTCACGTTCCTCTTTATCTCAGGTGTCGTTTGTCACAGGTAGGAGCCAAGTTTCAGCCAGCTAGGAGTGCCCAGATCGTGCTTCTTCAGTGGACATGCATGTGGATCTATGTGTGGACATGTATGTGAGCGCACATACATTTTTCAAGGTGGCCCCCACATACCATTGATAGGTCCCACTTACACATTCAAATAATTTTTTGTGGAAAGATAACCCATTTTTCAAACAAGTGTGTACATTCTACCACACATTCGAAGAAGATAGGATGCTAAAAGATTGTAAAAGCTTCATTTGAAGCTTCCTAAAAAAGCTCAAATTCAAGTTGTTGACATCTTTTTTGGGCCGGAGTTTTTTCCCAATAGATATTTTTTTTGCCAAACAGAAAAAGCTCAGAATTCAGACTTCTGAACCTCTAAACAGCCCAACGCCCACGCAAAAAGACTTGCCAGATGGGGCAAAATACTATCTATTGATTTTTAAAAACTGTGTTTAGAGACTATTTATCATATAAAAAGAATAAAAAAATTATTTGAAGCTTCCTAAAATTCAGCATTTTCAGTCTTTTTGGATCATTTTGTACATACATTCTTTCATCTTTCTAACTTTTAATTATCAAACAAAAAACACTGAAAACCCAGAAAACTGTACAAAAAGACTTGCCAAATGCTGCCTTAACCTTTTCGAATCTTTTTAGGATGCACATCTTCTATCTTCCTAATTTTCAATGTATGAAGTTTGTCAAAGCCCAAAAGACCAATTTTCGACCTCGGGTGTCAAAGCCAAAAGATGACATAGAAAGTCTTGCCAAACGCCGCTTTAACTCCAAATAACCCGGAAGGCCGAAACTTTTCGGGCACCGTAGAAGGAACGGCGAATAACGGCGCCTCGAGATTTTCAGCATAAAAAAGCTAACGGAATAACGGTGGCTTAACTTACTAACGTTCCGTGTATCTTTATGGCCGGCAATCGGCATGGTCCATAGAGACGGTGATCACTCATGTTGCCTTGCTGATGATGCATGCAAAAGGGATTTTCAACGCACTACGTAGCTGCGGGTCCCACACGTTCCCAGTCAACCTTACACGTGTAGGGATCTCAATGAATGCCGTATATTCGTACCAAGAACAACTAGTCTTCTGTTTGTATTATCTATCTATCTTTCGGTTGCTTCTGTTGCCAGCAAAAACCAGTCAGTTTGGAATTTGCTGTAAACAATCTCTGTTTCTCACTTGTCTGAAATTTCCATTTTCACAGCTCGAAGGAGATTACGCTGGAAATACTCTGTGAGACTGTGACAGAAGACACGTGTCAACGTACTGTGAACTATTGACTGGCACGCAAACCCAAGCATGCGATTCCCTTCGACTTCCATATATAGGAGGGGAGCAGAGAGCCTGCGAGTCTGCGACGTAACAGAGTATCTGTGTTTCTGCAAGATTTTTTCTCTCGTTTCTGGTATTCCTTTCGAAGTTAGGGCTTTTCATTTCTGTGTTCTTCGTCACAATTTCGTCAGCTGGCTGTGGGTTTTCGTCTCTTGTTGATTTTGTTGGAGTTTGCGAATCTTGGTTAGGTCTTATAGGTCGGTTTCTTTTTCCTGTCAATTTAATTCGTATCCTGCTTCAACGGTGGAAAGATCTTCTGTTTATTTGACTTCGGTGATCGTCTTTTTCAACGAACTCTTCTTACTGTATTAGTTTGTGGAATTGGAGTGAATGAGTTGCTCTGGGTTTCTCAGTAGGAAGATTAAGACGTAGTATTGGTACCCTGTTTTATCGATCTTGTTACCTTTCTTCTCTGTTCTTTTATTATAGTCTGTCACGATCCTTTTTTTCCCTTTAATTTGAAAGCTAGTTGCTCGCTACCTATAGTTCTTGAAAAGATTGAGAAGGGTTCAATTGACGTATTTTAATTTCAAAGTATTTTATGCTGACACTTTTAAATAGAAGAATTTTTTTTTTGTTGATCGAGGGGTTGGAACTTCTGAATTGAGTGAGCTTCTTTTTCTCTTTTTTCATCCCAAGGTTGAAGGTTTTGATATTGAGGCGTCTGCAATAGTGATTTTACAATTCACAGAGGAAAATTTGACCCATTATATGATGGCAGTGAAAAATGAAAATGTCTCAAATGGCAATGAAGATCATCTTCCAGGAGAAGTGAAGAAGCTTCTTAAGTCACTGGCTTCAAGCTGGGGAGATGTCATCGACCCAAATACCTTGGAAGTGATTCCACTAAAGGGTGCAATGACTAACGAGGTTTACCAGATCATTTGGCCGACACAAACAGGAGAATTTCCTCGGAAGGTTCTTCTTCGAGTTTACGGGGAAGGAGTAGACGTTTTCTTCGACCGCGGTGATGAGATCAGAACATTTGAGTGCATGTCAAAGCATGGACAGGGGCCTCGTCTTCTGGGGCGCTTTCCGAATGGACGGATTGAAGAGTTCATTCATGCACGGGTATGTGCTACTTGCATGACTTCAAGATTTCTTTTAAACAGTCATAGAAAGGTCTCTGGCAACACCCAGGTCCATTAAACAGTCGTGATTCTTAATCGTGGTGTCTTTGAATCTCCAAGATTTCATTTAAAATTGAGGAGCCTCTTAAATTCCATCTTCCTGAAGCCTTAAGATCATTATATCTGAATTGCATGTTATTTTACTGCTACAGACAATTTTGAATTTTAGATTGCAAAATCAGCTTTGCTAGTTTTGTTGTATCAAAAAACTTCTGTGCGTCTGTCAGGAGAAACAAAAGAACAGAATGATCAAAGATCAACACGTCTTCAGGCTATTTTTCAATGGATCTTCTGAGTTTCTTTTATCTCCATGATGGCACAAGAATGTAGGCAAGGCTTCACCATTTATTTGTAAACCACATATGCTCATGTAGCCAATCACATTATTTGGGACAAGTCTTTGAAAAAAATTGAGTATTCGTTGCTGTCTCCAAGCAACAGGAATATTGCATCTCTCCCCCTAGCTTAGGAAACAAAACTTCAACAACTTGGAACTATTGTCTCTCTATTTCATTATACTGTTTTCTTATATCTTGTTAAGATTACTTTATTCTTCACCACTTCTGGTTGTGATCAAGATTGATAGCAGTGACACATTTTTCTTTTTTACATAAATGGGAAAGTATTCTCTTCTCACATATAAGGATTTTGGTTGTCCCAGCAAGCTTGATATATAAAGTAAAACCATATTGAAGTGCATATTGCACTTGTAGAAATTGTTGATTTAGAAAGACACCGGCCAAATTTTATGAATATGGACTTAATGTCCTTGATGGAAACATAAAATTTTATAATTACAGTTGGGGGAAATTAGAAAGCAAAGACTGTTCAATTACTTTTAAGAAAGTGTCCTTGTCAAGTTATCTAAAGCAATGTTGGAACTCGGAAGGTTAGAGACTGGTTATTCAACAATAGGACACTTTTCAGATTGAAAAGAGGTTCATGGATGACCATCTAACTGAAAACTAAAAGGATCACCCTGAATTCTAATTTAAAGCTTGTTTTTATAATTATTTTACCAGCTGTATTCATGTCCTTAAAGATAGAAAACATGCATGAGAAGATATGAAACATCATAGGGAGCTGGAAAAAAAAAAGAATTAGCAGATACTGAAATATAATGGATACTCTGAAAATTGGGAATTTTTTAGAACTGCAGGAATGAACATGAAAATTTACTTTAAAATTATTACACTGCCGGAAATAGCTAGAAATGAACAAGTTAATAGCACATATGCACACTTAACCATATATTTGAACTAAGAATATTATTTTCAATCTTAGACATAACAAAGGAACCACTGTTCAATAGGTACTATCCAGGAAGTTTCATGTTCTGAAGTTGATCTGCTTAGATGGTCATAACCATCCAACTGTGATCTATTTGGGGACAATTCACCAATTTTTTCTATCCTTCTAGATGGATGCAAAAAAGTGTAGGGTTCATAGCCTTAAAATTCTCTGCTTTTATCATCTTGAGAGAAGTTTCTAGCATTGGTAACTTCCGAGGCTTGAATACTCGAGAGCTTCATATGTTATATAATATCAGCCAACTTCATAACTGGTTAGGAAAGAATATTAGTTTACTTACATATCTTAAGCTGATAACAGTTCCTTTTATCATCTTTATTTGAAAATTTCAGACACTGTCAGCAGACGACTTGCATGACCCTGAAATATCTACCTTGGTAGCAGCTAAGTTGAAGGAGTTCCATGATCTTGATATGCCTGGTCCAAAGGATGTTTTTCTGTGGGACAGACTGAGGTATCTGCACATTATTTTGTTAATGTACTGATACTTGTTGGAAAAGTTTAGGATTGCATTTACCATTAAAGACACTAAGCTGAGATTTTCCTTCTACAGAAAATGGCTTAAAGTGGCCATAAGTTTGAGTTCTCCTGAAGAAGCAAAAGAATTCTGCTTGGATGCTTTAGAGAATGAGATCCAAATAATAGAAAGGGAATTTTCAGTGGATAATCAACTCATTGGATTTTGCCACAATGACTTGCAGTATGGAAACATTATGATAGATGAGGACACCAGATCAATTACTATAATTGTAAGTTTTCTACTTTATATCTGCTTAATTATGTACATGTCCTACCAAAGGATCTGGGTTAATTACCTATTAGCTGGATCTAGTGCTGGTTCCCTAATAAAAATGCACCAACTGTCCTCTGTCCATGTGAATGCAGACTGCATGCGAAGTTTTATTCTTTCCCCCTTGAATGAGGGAATCTTGAACATGTGATCTGCATTCACATGGGTCTAGGACATGTGGAGCATCACTATTGGGGATCTAGAAATGGATCTAGCAAATAGGTAACCAGAAGATCCAGGATCCTCCAAACAGCCAATTAAACAATACATATGTGTATGACCTCTATAATTACAAGAAACCCTTTCCTGGTGTTTTATTATCATAGCTCTTTTCCAATATATGAATTTCCCTTTCTATCCCATGGAAGAGAGCCTGGTATTAGGTAAAGAAACTTTGGAGAAAATCAATAGGTGGTGTCTTGAGCATGGACATATAATAGTTGATGGAGAGATTGGGTTAGCAGTTATATCTCTAGATCTTTCCTCTGTGTATTGTCATCATGATCATCTATTTATGACTAGTATGACAAGTTGTCAATTTTGTTGTTTGTATTGTCTACCAATACTTATACCAATTCCATGCACAAGTAGGAAAATGTGGAAATTTCACATCTCTTTTCTTTCCAAATGATGGAAGAAATTTTGTCTACTTTCCTGTTTTATTTTCATTTTTGTAATAAAGCAACCCATTGATCAAGTTGGTGACATTCTGCTCTGCATAGCAGCCATGAAATTGTAGGTTCCTTTCTCTCTTAGCTATGAAAAACCGGTGCAAGCTTTGTATTTGTAAACTTAACTAGAGAAGATTATCTGCTTCTCTGGGAAGATTTGACCAAAATCAGAAAACTCAGCATTGAAGGCCAACTGAATTGAACATTTTTGCTCATCTAATAAAAACTGAAGAGGGTCACTCAACCAACTTTTTACATTTTCTTCATGATTTGGTGACTTAGTTATAGAGGGAGATTGATTGCATTTTTTATTTTATTGAGATTATGCAATGATTAAATAATGGCTTTACCTTTTCCTATATATGGTATACTAGCACGGGCAACGTGCATTTACAAAAAGTAGAGCATTATTAAAAATAAAGTTGAAATAATAAGAAAATGTTAAAATTAACAAAAAACAGAAAAAAAAAGCAGAGCTTCCCGAATCCATAAAATAAACAGCGAGGTTTGATACCTGACACATGCTACCTCTGTGTCCTGTCCTCACCACCGAATCTGGCCGTACGCTTATATTCCTCTTATCAGTTTCTCCATAAACAAAAGACATTTTAATGGCAATTCTAAAGGGCAGTTACTGTGTGATTCCATTCCTCGCACGCTCAGCCCTTGACAGAATGACAGTACAGCATTCCATTTTAATAGATTAATATAGATTAGAATAAAACATATCATTCTAACTTGGTTTTCATGGCAGTATACTCTTAAACTTGGTTTTCCTTTGTTCTGTTCAACTATATTTTTCATGTAACCTTTCCCTTCAGCTCTTATTTTTTATATATATAAACACACAGCAAGGTGGTCAATTCTGCAGGGGACTATTGTTGTTCCTGATTTGTGATGACCCAACCCTCTTGGCCCTTCCTCAGATTCAATTTGTTGTCAGATTACCTCCAAAGTTATTTAGAATGTAAAAGTAACTAATCTTTATCATATCCCTATTGTACAGGATTATGAGTATGCAAGTTACAATCCTGTTGCCTATGATCTTGCAAATCACTTCTGTGAGATGGCAGCGAATTATCATTCTGAAACACCTCATATCTTAGACTACAGTAAATACCCAGGTTAGTAGCTGTTGTTGTTAATGATTCTATGTGCTTCGACTTCATTTATTTACCAAAAAGCAATTACTGTTAGTGTTAGGTACACCACAAGATAGCCTTCTATCTGGCTTACTAAGACCACTTTCTTCTTCACCTGCCTATGGCTACAGATTTGGAAGAGCGTCAGAGATTTGTGCATGCATATCTTAGCTCTTCAGGTAAGCTATCTCGGGTTATGGCTTTGTATACAGTCATGGATATAGGTATTAGACTATGGGACATGTTTTGTCAACTTAATACAAGAAATAACACATGCTTGAACGGTGACAGACTCCTATGGCTTTAGAACAAAATATATTCAAACCAACCCTTATTCTCCCATAAATAGATTTCTGAGAGCCTCAGGTGCACTTGGATTTCTTGTTTTTCAAATTTTATCATCATGAATTTGAGAAAAGTTCTAACAATAAAGCGTATGAGGTATCTATTTGAAAACATTGGTTGGGTATCTCCATTCTCCCAACAAAGAGGCTGTTGTCCTTTTCCGTGATGAATGAATTAATATAAATTTTCTTAATACAGATAAACTGAATCCGTTTATCACTTTTTGAATTTTACTAAGGTAATATTCTGGCGTTATGGTTGTAAACTAGTAATCTTCTAAGATGTTAAATGAGTTCTAGTTATTAACTTAAGCTTCATCTTTATGTAGGCAATGAACCCAGCAACCTGGAAGTTGAGCATTTACTACAAGAAGCTGAGAAATACACTCTTGCTAACCATCTGCTTTGGGGATTATGGGGAATAATATCGGTAGGAACTCCCATTTTTCCTTTCGTGATTAGTGATTACTACAGAGCACACATATGCACATACTACACAATACACACACACATATGGAGATTCTTTGGAAAATGGGTACTTCCTCTTAGTATTGCCATATTGCATATTGTTCATGACATCATGTTGATAATTAAATGGGTCATTCTTGAAATATTCCGAAGTTAAAATTTCAGCTTATCCAGATTAGTTAAATGTCTACATGTGTCCCCCATCCCCCTGATGAAGTGGTGGTAACCATGCTTTTGCATGTCTCCCTACTACATGGCATAATTGAGGAATTTGTGCATTGTTTTATCTGAATTTAAATTGAACCCTAATACAGTTTTCCATCATCTTCAGGACCACGTAAATGACATCGACTTTGATTACATGGAGTATGCAAGGCAGAGGTTTCGGCAGTACTGGCTGAGGAAGCCTACACTGATGTCTTCTTCAGAAGCATCCAATGATGATTGTGTAAATGTAGTTAGTTAGTAATACCTGAAGATGGTGTTCATATTTCTTCCATCATGTGAATATTTTTGATGTCATCAGTTACTAGTAAAAATGAATTCATTCCAGTGATGCCTTACAACTTTACTTGAGGGGAATAATGATCTTGCTGTAAAATTGATCAGCCATTGATGAAACATCCTAACTGGATTCAGTAGAGAATAGTATTCTATGTTTTCAATTATTACTTGTTGCTTGTTTCAATTTTCAGTTAAAAGAAGTCTTTTTCAGCTTTGACAGCAGGAAAACCTACTGTTGCGGAATAACCCAAGAAATTGAATGGCACTCAAGAATGAAAGTAAAACAGAGATAAAGAGAAACAAGCACAGTGAACACACAGATTTACGTGGTTTGTCTTATAGCCTACGTCCACGGGTGGAGGAAGAACAGAAATCCACTATGAAGTTGGTAATGGAGAAGAAATGCAGAGTTGCGCCATCACAGAAAACCCTAAGCCCCAAATACACCCAATGTCTCACTCGTCTCTCACAAGACTAAGACTCTATATACAAGAGAGAAAACCCCTAAAAATACATAACTTTTCATATTCGGTTTGGACCTATAACATGAATTTGGATTGGGTTCATACCGCCACAGGGCCTGCTACACATCCACCACAAACTACTATGAAATTTTGCCTTCAGGTTTTTCTCAAAAGAATTCAGAGCAGATTCATGAAACGGGTCGCTACAAAGAATTCAAGGCACAAACATAACACCTACCCTAACAACTGAAAACTTAAAATATTGTGTCATTGTGGAGTATATGTTGTTTGTCTCCCAGCCATGGTTTTCAAAACCGGATTGGATGGTCAGATCGGAAAAACTGGGAACCGGTCAAGTGACCGGTTTCGTTTTTCGCCAAAATCAGATTTTTGCCAAAAAAACATTGAATTGGTCAGCAAACCGCTGACCCAGGCAATTGAACCATTTGAACCGTTCAATGGTTTTGACCTTTTTTTTAATTTTTTTGTCAGAACGGGCCAACCGTTCGACTGGGGAACCAGACCCCTAACCGGTTTGTTGTTCGGGTCAATTTTAAAAACCTTGTTCCCTGCCCCTCCACCACTTCCCCTTCACGCTGTCCTAGAATGGATTCCAGGCCTACTAGCCATTTGCGGTTATATAGACATAAGGATAAGATATGCTTTAGACTCACAGTCCTAGTGGAATTTATGAACAATGCTCAAGTTAATAAGGCCCAGCCAACTTTGGGTTCTCCGGATTGCAAGGGCTGGGCTGAGCTAGAAACCCTCCTAATAAGCTATCTATTTAAAATTTGGGATTTTTATAGTTCAGATTTCTGAGGTGGATTGCAGTCCATTTATCCCTAAAATAATCTACCTTAGAAATCTGAATTGCAGTCCCCTCTTAATCTATTAATAGCCCTCCTAATAAACTGCATCCTACCCGTAAATTTGGCATCAATCCATGGGAAGAATTCAATCCACTCCTAAAAATCCTACCTATATCTTACTAGGGGTGGACTGAAGTATAAAAACCCCCAAATTTTTAAATGACCGACTGACAGTCAATTTGAGTTCTCCAGATTTTATCAAGTTGTCCACGTGGGCCCACCTCAGAAAGTCAGAAGGCCTTCCTACATGAGCACTAGACACTAGTGTCTATCTAGTGTCTGTTCCCGAGGGCTTTCACACAGAATCTGTCTTTGCAAGGCCGGTTCCACACGGAAAAGCCTAAAAGCTATATCTGGTAAAAAACTGGGAAAGCTAGAATATGCTTTGATCGAGTTATTAAATCGAACTTTCCCGTGAAACTAGTTTTAGTAACTTATGCAACATGGCTTCTCCAAACAGCTTAGAGAAAGCAGCTTGGCCAAAGCTTCAGCCCTTCCTATACAGACCCTATCAAAGTGAAACCCTTACTCCCTTTATTGGGCAAAAAACAAGAGAAGTGAGGTAGAAGAAGAAGAAGAAATAACATGGGATGGGAGTAAAAAAGAATAATTAAATACCGGTGAAAAATAGGGGGATTTATTCCATTTGATATTATGGATTTGATGAATTGAAAGATTGGGAATGATTGCTTGAATTTTCAAGTTTCGTCCCTCTTGCCCAAAGATATACCTTTGTGTAAGATGTTAGTATTAGCATGTTTCTTATCTCCGGCAAGTTGAAGTTAGAGATAAGATGGGATCACAAATTGAAAATTAATAAAATTTCAGTATGCACTATCATGTTTTTTTTTTTATGCATTTTCTTTTTCCATCCTATTGTTAGGGGTTGGAAATCTGTTGTGCTTTGCGTTTTTTACCAATATGTCCGCTAACCATATGAATTTGAAAAATTCATCGTATATTTTAACATCTGAAATTGTGAAATTTACTATCTTGCCCTTAGAAGTAGAATGCTTGATAATATTATAGATAATAAAAATAATATTATGATTTGTTGAAATAAAGAATTATTTGTTATTTATTGAATTTATCTATTATTATTATTAACTCATAAAAAATAAAAAATTTTAATTATTATAAGTAATAAACATATTATTAAATATTCTTATCACTAAATATTATTATTTCTTTAAATAAAGAAATATAATATTTATTCATTTATTATTAAGTAATATTTTGTAATAGTTAACAATACTATTTAAATAAATATTGTTATTATGATATTTAATAAAATTATTTAAATATTTCATAATATTATTTATTGTTGTTATTATTAAATAATACTTTTTTAATATTAAGAAATATTACTTCAAGAATTATTATTTATTAAATAAATATTATTATTTTTGTAAATAAATAATAATACTATCTTATTTAATTAATAATAAATATTTAAAAACATCATTTATTATTATTTTTTAAATATATGACAATAATAAGGACATTAACAATTTAACATCATTTTATCCTTTATGAAATGTCTTATTTTGGTATGACATGAAGGTATTACCATTTCAGATGTTTTTTTTTTTTGGTATATTTTTAAATATTAGAAATTGCCCCTTCACGTTAGCTGAAAAGTATTGTCAAACGCCACATCAATTTATGAAACGTCAGGGAATTAGTCCTTTTCCCCCAAACAAAAAAGTCCAAACACGTCACTCTCTGATAGTATTTCGGGCTAATCATGTTAGAACTTAGAAATTAAATTCAGAAACGAAACTCAAACAAAAGTTGAGGACAAGAAAGATAACACGTATCACTAAACTTCGACGGATTGTAAAATCCAAATCTCTATTGTTCTTTTTAATTAGTTTTTTTACCATTTTTACTTGTGTTTCGAATAAAATCAGTAATTAGGCGCTTTTTGGATAAACTTTTATAAAATATTTTCATAATTTCGAAAATATCAAAATTACAAAATCAAGACATAGAATTTCTATTATATACTCTACCTTTTTCTTTCATATTTTTAAAAGTATGAAAAACCCTAAAAACATGAAGCTAGCTTTTTATACTTTGTGCTTTTAGCAAATTTGTACTTTTCGTGTGAATTTGACCACCCTTCAATAAAACTCTCGACTCTACCTCTGCTCGCTATTGTTAGAGTCGAGCTGCTATCATCAATCTTGGACCTTGAAACTAATGAAAACCGTCACCAAAAGTACAAATTGATTATTTTTATCAAACAGAAAATTATATTTTTTGTTTTGAAAAGCATTACATTTTTAAATTTTCTACCCAAATGATTTTTAGTGTTAATTCTACCCCCACAAATCATACCAAAACGATTTTTAAAGTAAAAATAACAAAATAAATATGGGTTTTTTATTGTTCAGTCCACCCCCACAAATTATAGCTCCATGGTACCGTACACTTGGGTAGGGCTGGCAATCTTAACCCAACCCACCCACCTTGGAACCAAGGTTCAAAGTATCGATACGCCTCTATGTATCAGCAAAGGCGTATCAATACTTAGATACAAGCGGAAATGGTTTTTTTTTTCAAAATTTGGTTTTTGGGAATATATTTTAACATATTTTTTATTAAAAAAAATAGTGGGGGCCCGAATAGGCGTTTTAGATCCCAAAAGAAACAATACAATATGTCCAATACAGGGCATATTGTATCGATACTTTGAACGTTGCTTGGAACCCACTTATACCCACCCAATCTATTGGTGGCTCAATACGGGTTGAGTAGCCCATTGGGTTAGTGGAAAAGGGTCAGGGTGGGTTGGGTTGAGGTACCCATTAAGATTATGATGGGTTGGGTCGCGTTAGTCAAAATAAGTTGGGTCAAAGTCAAATTTATCTATATTCACTAAATCTCAAAAAAGAGAAGTTGCAATGATTTGAACTTAAACTTCATAGTGTGCCCACCCCACATCTTATTATACTTCCAAATCATCATGCCACATTTCATTTTGAAATTAAGGGGGCGTTCTTGTTTTGGGATTTTGGTTCCCATTGACTAAGAATCCCATATTCATTTTTTAGATTAATGTGGGGATCAAGGAAAGTTTATTTTCCTAAGTGCCACTTACCCAATAAAGTGATACCCATTTAGGGTGGGTAAATAACTTTTCCACCTTGGAGGAAAGTTGCTAACACTTGAATGGTATAAAAATGCCTATTTTAATAATGGATTTTTATGACTAAAATGGTCATTATCTTATTTACTTTAGAAATAAAAGAACATGGGCAAATGCACTTACCCGTGTAAGTGTTTCACAGGAAAAAATTACTCAAGTAATTCCATTTATCTAGGTAAATATCTTAACGAAAAGTGAATAGGGCCTAAAAGTGAAATAAAATAGATTTTATTAACTTTCGTGTTCACATGCAATTTTATATAAAAGAACTTTTACAAAAACAATTTTATAAAGTAGTTTTATGAAAAGACTTTTTGAAAGCACTTTTACAAATGTACTTTTACACATTTACAAAAACACTTTTACACAAAAGCACTTTATAAAAGTACTTTTACGAAAACACTTTTATGAAAGCACAAAAACACTTTAATAAAAATACTTTTAAATGTATTTTTATGAAAGCATAAAAGCTATTTTATAAAAGTGCTTTTATGAAAGTACTTTTATGAAAGCACTTTTACAGAAGTACTTTCATAAAAGTACGTTTGCGAAAGCACTTTTATGAAAGTTATGCATTTTTTTGCATTTTCTACATTTTCCCGTTATTTTCTGCATTTTCTGTAATTTTATGCATTTTTTCAATTTTTGGTAATTTTCTACATTTTTCTATTTTTTTGTTATTTTCTGCATTTTCTACAAAATTTTGGTGCTTTTCTGCATAATTTTTACATTTTTTGGTGTTTTTCATGTATTTTCTACATTTTTTTGCATATTTTCTGAATTTTTCTACAAAAGTTCTAACCATAAAATTTTACTATTTTTTGTATTTTCTACAGTATCTTTTTTTACATTTTTTGTAAAGTTTTTACTATTTTATGCATTTATCTATAATTTTTGCATTTTTGGATACATGAGTTGAGTTATTCGTTTTTGTAACGTGATAGTATTGAGAGAGATTATTCTTTCAAAATTTATTATTTAGTTATAAGGGCCATCTTTACCTATTTTTGTATTTATAAATAAGAATAAGTGGATTAATAATTAGTATGGATGAGAGTGATTAAGAATTAATATGGATCGATCTATATATAGGTGGGTTAGTGTAAAGATGGGTTATGACGGATGATGCGTTGGTGGATTAACATGAGTTGGTTGGTATTCAACCCTTACCAAATCCACGCATTTGTCACTACTTCGGGTAGAATTGGTACATGCGCGGGTATTGATGTTTAGGTGGAGGTATTTGAAATTTTGAATGGTTACAAGTCTGCAGTGGAGTGCAGTTAAGTTTATCTTTTATCTTTTATGTACTTTGTTGGATACTAAGGGATGCTTTAGCCTTTGTAGAACTCTAATCTGCGTGTGCTATTTATGCTATAAAAAAAATTGTGATTTTACACTTTCAATTCATTCCGGTTCTCGGTCAAATACTCTTTACTACTTTTTGCCTTGGCGAGATTTGTCCGGACCGAGCTCATGTTCGTTCACTGATCCATGACAAAAAATCTTTACCTGCAGACTTAATTCCATCAAGTGCTTTTTCGTTCACAAACTGAAGGCGGTAATTTTTTAGCGAAGTTAGCTCAATTGGGTTGGTAATGGCTAATAGCAAATACGAGTACGTGAAGTCCTTCGAAGCCGAAGACAAGTTGTTGCCAAACACTTGGATTGTTATTAAAATCGGTGGCCATGATTTTACCAGGTAAGTTACATTCTTTTCTTTGCTAGTTGAAATTGACTATTGGTGCTACAGAAAAGGTGGAGCCTTCTAACATACTGATCCATAACATTGCTCTTAATGTGTTTGCACTAATTACCAAATAAAGGGTTTGCACGGAATGGTAACGCAAAGGAAGTTTTGAACAGAGGTATAAGTGGGTCGGTGTTGGCACTCATCTCTATCCAAGTAGGATCTCTTGGTTACTATAATTGAACCCACTAAATCAACTTAAGCAATCCAAAACACTATAATCATGAATATATTGTGCAGCATTTCCATGTTGAATGCAGAAAAATGCAAGTTTGAGGTTGTAGTAAAATTATCATGCCTCCGTGTGGACAAAATCTCAAGTCTCAACTATATCCAGCTTGTTATGTATCAGAAGATATCAGAAGAGAAACTCTCAACAAACCCTTCTGAGACCCAGAAGAGAAAAATTGAGTGAACTCATATCTCCTTGGTGAATCTGGTGGATGTGTGCCATTTGTAGCAACAAAACCACTTCAAATGAGCTTATTGGAGCAGAATCTTAAGTACTCTTTCCTCATAATACACCGTTAAGGAGGTTTTGAAGAGTCAACTTTTTCTCCTTGTTTTTATATGTCTGAAAGTTAGAGGTGTTGAACCTGCATCAAACAAATAGTAAAATGATGGAAAAATGATACTTATAATCCTGAAATACATCCATATATCCATATATCATTTTGGTTAACTATTTTTGCTTGATCAGATACCTGACAATTTGGATTTCTAGTTACCAAATTTTGCTGCACCTTGAACTTCAAGAATTCTCTTTGTTGGTGCTTTTTAGATTTTCTGAAGTCCATGAATTTATGAAGCCAAATGATGAGCAAGCTTTGAATCTGATGAACTCTTGTGCCATGGCTATGTTAGAGGAATATCCAGATATGGTACTTGCGTATGGTTTTAGAGATGAGTACAGGTACCATTGCAATACAGCTTTCATATTCATGTGGTATTTGCTAAAAAGTTTCAGCATTTGAAGATTCTTACTCTGTTAGTTATGTTATGGCCCCCAGCTTTATTTTGAAGGAGGCGTCTGAGTTCTACCAAAGGCGTGCCAGGTTTCTTGCCCAATCTCTATTCTTTTTAGATTTTATAGTTTTCATTTTTGTGATGTTTAAATGTCCGGAAGAAACCACATACATCAGGATAGGGAGGACAGGATGAAGCAGTTGCAAACCAATCAATAGAAACTGAAGATTGACCTGAATGGATGAAGAATGCATAAGTAATCCAAGTTTAAAGAACTTAAAACAAGGCCTAGGAAAAGAAAACATTTTTTTATCAGAAATAGTGTTACAAGGTGTGTCTAGGTGTGCAGGTGAGGTGCATTATAAAGCATGAGTCTCATTTGTACCTAGGTAACACCCCTTTCAAAAGGCATACACCTGGGTTGCCTTGCATCTAGCCCAGGTGTGCATCTTTTTTTAGTTTGCTTATTTGGTTATTTTTTATACATATTTATGCGTTTTACACTTTTGAAATGGTCTATCAACTTCTAAGTTACCTTTAATTGGTGCTTATGCACTAATAATGGTCCTATTAACTTTTAAAAGAAACAAAAATAGAGACCTTTTGAATGCCTGAAGCCCTAGTTGTTGCGGATAGGATCTCAAATAGAAAAAGTTCCACCAAAGAACCAACAACAATCAACTGATCTTTAATCCCTTACCTGAAATAGAATAAACTACAGCAAAAATCACAAATCTGATGCCTTATATATGGGCCAAAAACTTGGGTTGCCCAGGTCCATTGGTCCTCTGCTTCCAAAAGGCCCCAACCTCCTAGGGTTTGGAATGCAGGAGGTTTAACATCATACTAGCTACTTGAAACAATGCAACTAAGAGATCTACAAACATGTTGGGAGTTTCATATGCTTGAATTGTTGAGTGCTTGAAGCACTTTCATATGATTCACATCTGTTTGCTTCTTCCTTCACTTTGAATTTGTTTTACGTATCATGCTTATATATTTCGATTTTTTCCATAGGCAACAGGAAAAGTATATTCATTTATTAAATTTAATATGTAAAGAGTAATCACAAGATTTCGACTAGCCTCATCTACCTAACCTAAAACCGTATAAATGAAAATAAGAATATCATGAGATTACTCCCTAATACAAATAATCCCTATTGATTTCTTGTTTTGCCAGTGTGTCAGCCACATTGTTAGCTGATCTATAAGTCCTCTCCAAACTACACCCAGTTTTCTAACTAATTTTAGCTCTCCCCCCCAAGTATGTCTATATTACCATGTGCCTCAGTGTCTCCCTCTTTAACCAACCTACTACATTCCGGGAATCTCTTTCCATCTCAATGCTGCCCAGACTCATCCTTTTACAAACCAGTTCTTCTGTTGCAGAGTCTTCCTCTCCTATTGGTTCCAAGAAGATAGCAATGAACTCCAGTTCATATTTCTTATAACTTATCAATTTCTACAAGTCCTGGATTTTCTATGCTACAACCATTAAAGTTTAGCTTCCAATGGTTCTAATGGTGGAGACCAGTCCTTTAAAATGATTGGTTTAGAGGTAGAAGAATCTTCCACCTGCTTTGAGTCCCTAAAAATATCATCCTTTGTAAATTGCTCAAAGATTTGCAATGTTTTTATCCAATTTATTATGTATTTTGACTTGAGTCAATTAACTTTTTAAAACATTTATTTTTTAATTCATGTTTGCATATTTTTAATGCATCAACACTTTATATTTCTTTTTTCTTTTTTCCAAAAATTTGCACATTGCTTTGTTCAGGTGTGTGCCTCATCCTGCACCTTGCACCTCAGGGGTAGAAGGCACTTGCATTTGTGCCTCTCACTTTTAAAACATTGATCAGAAACTGAAATTATATACTAAAATTATTATATATTCCTTTGACTTGGATATTTCATGAGTTTTTATTCTTTTACTATTTGCTATATAATGTTCTACTTAATCCAGTGTTAACTTGTTCCTTAAATCATTTTTTTTTTGCAGTAAATTAGTGTCCGTCTCTGTGTCATTCTTCTCTGCTGTTTATGTTATGAAATGGAAAGAATTCTTCCCTGAGAAAGCATTAAAGTACCCACCTTCTTTTGATGGACAGGTTTTTTGCTGTCCATCAGTTAAGATACTTAAAGATTATCTGATGTGGAGGCAAGCAGATTGTGAGTATTTGAATCACTTTGCTTTTTAACATGGACAAAAGACTTTTAGAAGGGAACTAATTGCATAATTTCCATTTATTTCTGGCATATAAGTTTGATTTAACTCAATGGTTATAAACCTGTCTTCCTTCTTTCTTGTTTTATAGGTCATACTGGTAATCAGTACAACACTTGTTTGTGGATGCTGGTTAAATCAGGACAGACCAAACAGGCAGCGCAAAATATTCTAGAGGTGTCAAAATATTGTTTATGTTTTTTGAAAAAGATTCTTCCCCTTGAAATTTGTTGCATTAATATTGTACTTCCAATTTCAACCACTCATTGCTATATTTTTGTTCTCTTGAATCTTTCCATGTGTCATTTGTTGACATTATATTTGAATTCTTGAAAGGAATTTTCCCCCCTCCCCTTTTGCTCATGGGTGAGTATTTATGTCATGATAACATTCTATGGGAGTGACAGCAGCATGTGTGTGTGTGTATGTGGGTCTGTATCACAATAAGGTTTTGCATATCTAGTTGGAGTCTGCGCTCTTTTATTTGTTATTCTGCTTGTAAATGCTGCTCTTTTCTTTGTTGATCGGATTGCAGTTCTTTGTGTTGGGTGCTGTCTCATCAGTCATCACCCTTTCACTTATTGCACCTTCTTTTTTAATTTTAATTATAATTTCTCTTGATTTACCATTGAAAAAGTTCTATGGGGGGTGTCTGTTGTCACAAATATGCAGAACTTTTGGAAACTTGAGAACAGCAACTCAATCACATTAGGGGAAATGTTCTTGCAAGAATTTCACATGATCACTAAAGGAAGGTATTTTTTTTTTATTTTTTATATTAGAATGTAAAAATATCTACAAGTACTGCCCAGGTAAATGAATAGCTGAATAGTGGCAAAGATTAAATTTATGTTCTTCACATGAAAAGAAAATCATAGGAAAAACAATGATGATTTAATAAGGTAAAATTTTTCTTAAAAGGTTTCCTTAACTTTTATTTTTGGGTTGTTGAAACTTGATTAAAAGGGCAGCCTAGTAGGGGTGCTCACGGTTTGGTTAACCAAACTATGTTTTTTTTTTTTTTTGAAATCAAACCGGTACCACCGGTTGACTGGTTTCGGTTTTTGACTGGTTTGGTTCTTTGGTTTTTTATATTTATAACATATATTATAAATAAGTATATATAATTTTTTTTGATCAGTAAAAACAAATTTCATTAACGTAGAGAAATTACAGGGGTTATAGTTTATGAGTAGCCTCGGCTACCCCACTACAGTGCATCCACTAAGAAATTTACTTTTCCCTTTTACAGTTGGTCCCAGAAACATTGATCCCTGTTCACCCCTTGTTTGGCTAGCTGGTCTGCAAATCCGTTTGCTGCTCTATGGGTCCACTGAATTGAAAGCTGCATATCCTTGGATAGACTTTTAATCTTCTTGATGTCATTTCTGATGATACAGGGTGTGCTGTCATGTTGTTTTAGCCAACTGATAATAACTTTGGAATCCTCTTCCACAACCAACCTTTCCACCCCCATCTCCTTAGCTTTTTGTATCCCATATACCATTGCCTTCAGTTCAGCTGTAATGGAATTACCCATTCCAATGGGACCCAAATACATCCCCAACACATTTCCTCTTTCATTTCTTATAACCCCTCCAATTCCAGATCTTCTTGGGTTTCCGAAACTGCTGCCATCAAAGTTCAATTTGACAAATCCTGGTTCAGGGGCACCCACTCCTTTAGGATCTTCTTTTTTGCCAAGGAAGAGAAAGCAACTAGCCTCCAATTCCTAATCATATCATCCACTGTAAAATTTGAAAATAAGTTCAGTGTTTTCACCCATGAGATCACCTTCATCATAATAGTTTCTATCATTTCTGCCTTGCATCTTTCCTTATCTTCAAATAATCTCCGATTGCTTTCCTCCCATAGTTCCCATAGTACTGCTGCCCTTGTGCATCTCCACATCATTCTCCCTCTTCGCTTTGGCCATCTAAAAGTAGATGGCACAAACAATCTTTCCAAGCTCATCGGGGTGTCCCACCTGCATCCAAATAGGTAGAAAAACCAATCCCAAATGCTGCTAGCAAGAGGACAGGAAGCAAGAATATGAAAAGCATTCTCACCATTTAACTTACATAAATAGCACCAATTTTGTGAAAAGCACCAACCGGGTCTTTTCCTTTGCAATAGATCACTAGTGTTAATTGCACTTTGATATACTTCCCAACAAAAAGCACCCACTTTGTGAGGGACAGGTCGACACCAAACTTCTTGTAAAGGGAAGGGTTCCCCAGGTTGGGCAGGAGAAGACAAAGACTTGAAGAAAGAAGCACACTTGAAAGCACCTGAAGGATGGGGAGACCAAAGTCTAGTGTCTTGTTTCGAGGTGTCAAGCCACACCCCATCAAGCACCTGAAGTAGAGAAGACAAAGACTCCAGTTCTGAGTCCCTGACATTTCTGTGAAGTCCCAGGTTCCAAGTCGGACCAGACAAGGGTGGGGAGGGGGCAAGAAATTCAGCAATGGGTCTACCTTTGAGGGATGAAAGAGCAAAAATGGAGGGAAAGAGGGTTTTTAAAGAAGACTCCCCCACCCAAATATCTTCCCAGAATTTGATTTTATTACCTGAATTAAGATCAAATCTGATATGATTAAGAAATGAGGGGAGAAGTTTGTGAATTGCCTTCCATGGTGAATAGCTCGATGCCCTGCTGGAAACTCCAACATCCCATCCATTCTCTAAGAGCCCATGTGTACTGGCTACCACTTTGTGCCAAAGCCTATCTGTCTCACCTAGGAATCTCCATAACCACTTGCCCAAGAGAGCTTCATTCCTCTCCTTAAGTCTTCCAATGCCCAACCCTCCTAAATCCTTCCTTCTAGTCACTACTTCCCATCTAACTAGATGATCTCTCTTCTTCTCATCAGGTTCCCACAGAAAATCCCTCATTATCTTCTCTAATTTCTTCCCAATAGCTTGAGGCATACTAAACACCGAGAGATAGTAAACTGGGAGATTTGCTAAGGTGGCTTTGATAAGAATAATTCTTCCCCCCAATGAGACATAATTTCTCTTCCATGCTGCCAACTTCTTTTCAAACCCCTCTATTACTGGTTCCTAGAAACCTAAGTTTTTTGGGTTTGCACCTAGAGGGAGTCCTAGATATTTCAAAGGCCACTCACTCCACAAACAACCTAATTCCTCTGTCCAAAAATTGATCTCTTCTTGGTTTAGGTTAATTTCGGCTGTCACACTCTTGTTGAGGTTCACTTTCAGGTTTGTCACTTTTTCAGAAAGGTTAACAACCAACCTAAGGTTCCTTGCTACCAACTCATCTTCATTTTCACAAAAAATGATGATGTCATCCGCAAATTGAAGATGAGTAACTACAAGACTCTCCCTTCCTACTCTCCAACCCTTTAACATACCTGTTGCATCTGCCTTCGAAATCAATTTGCTAAACACTTCTGCTAGAATCGTGAAGAGGAAGGGGGAAAGGGGATCTCCTTGTCTAACTCTTTTCTTAGCATTAAAGAAATCCTTTACCACTCCATTGACTAGTACTGGGAAATGACAAGACTGTAGAAAACCTTTAATCCACCTACACCATCTTGCTCCAAATCCACAATTCCTAAGAGCCTCCAACAGAAACTCCCAATCCACAAAGTTATAGGCTTTCTTTAAATCTAATTTGCACACAATGCCTTTCTTTCTAGACTTTCTGAAATCCTCCACACATTCATTAGCTATTAGGATTTGATTGGAGATTTGCCTTTCTTGGATGAAGGCCCCTTGAGACTGAGAGATAATTGCTGGGAGGACCTTTTTAGCCTCAAAGAAAGGACCTTGGCAAGGATCTTATATTGGCTTGTTATCAAACTGATTGGCCTAAAATCCTTGGGATGGCAAGCACCAGATTTGATGATGGCAAAGAGATACTCAATGCTGCCCTACCCCTTGTAAGGACTTTGATTTATCAGGTCAAACAACAAAGTCTGGAGTTAGGTTTTCAATCACAAGCTAGCTCCAAATAGAGTAAAAAATAAATGGGCCCATGACTTGGTACTGGAAGGAGGAGACAGGAGCAATGATTCATCCACTCTGCCTCCTGCTAGCACAAGCATAGTACACATATGGTGTGTATTCATCATGCTTCTAATCAGCTTGTCCCCAGTGAGACATTTGGCATTTCATTAATTCAGAGGACACCATATTCAAAGATTATCAACTTCAAAATGACACGGCTGAAAATGTTTCTGATGGGCCATACATCTATATTTTCAAAATTGTAAAGTTAGAATTGAGGTCGTCTTTTTTTCATCACTGAATTGAGATTGTCTTTTGTCCATGACGCTTTGTTGAGATCTACTACCCAAGCCTCCTTCATCCTTGACCATGTCAAAAATGGTGGGGAGAATTTCCATTAGAGTCCATTTCATCATATGAGATTTCCCTCCAAATCCATTATCATTAATGTACTTGATGTGTTTAACAAAGGTTAATGTCTTCTATGTCTTCCTATAAAGAGCATCCAGAAGATATGGTAGCCTCCCCATGGTTTAAAGCATATGAAGTGGGGAAGTTCTATTTGAGAGATTTTACAGAGAAATTCTCTATTGGCCAGATATAGTAGCTTAGCCTTTATTTTTTTATCATTAACAGATAAAATATCTTTATTAGATATTAGATAATTCAAATATGAAAAAATCAGGGATGCGAAGAGCTCCAGTAAAACAGAGCCATAGCTTGCTCAACCAGACAGCCACCCTTGGTTTCTCACATGCTAAAATTTAGTACCCTGGTACATATTAGCCCCATATTAATAGATAAAATACATCCAAACACATTTGCTGGTCTTCTAACCCACTCAAGGGAACTCACACTTTGATATGGAGATTGTGCCTTGTTTTGATCATAATTCACAAAAAAGAAAGAACTTGATTTTGATTATATTCCTTAGAGGTATAAGTACAAGTATGCACAATGTTTGCTAAAACCCCTTAATTATATTCCTTAGAGGAAATATCCTTTGATTTTGATTTTATATGAAATAGCTACTTTGTAAGGGTTAAACCCAATAACAGGTACAAGTAGTGCCATCAGCTTGAACTCTTAGCGGGTTATACCCATGAGTGGGCCCCACAATTGGTAGATAGGTCATGGGACCCATACACCATTGGGTACTTATGTATTTAAACTTATACATCTTAACAGTGGGTCCCGTTAATCGGTAAAAAGTGGGACCCACTATACTGATTTGGTGGTGGGCATGATCCACCTTAATATTTTAAACAAATATTTTGACAGTGGGCCCCGTTGATAGGTGGGACCCACTAGTTTGATTTGATGGTGGGCATGACCCACTTTAATGTTTTGAACTTAAATATTTTGACAGTGGGTCCCGCTGACAGGTGAGACCCACTAGTTTGATTTGATAGTGGACATGGCCCACTTTAATGTTTTAAACTTAAATATTTGACAGTGGGCCCCGCTGACAGGTGGGACCCACTAGTTTGATTTGATAGTGGGCATGGCCCACTTTAAGGTTTTAAACTTAAATACTTTGTGGATAAGATCCATCGAACCAGACAGTGGGTCCCAGGTACAGCTTTATTTGTAATATGCTGTTAACAAACTGAGAAATCCATTGCTAATCCTGTTCTTTGAGGTGAATAAGATCCACTGAACAGGGCAGTGATTCCCAAGTATTAATTAAATTTTTATCTATTTTAATATTTCTTTTATGGTGATAGAATCCACCGGACATAATACAACCAATTAAAGAAAGAGTGAGAGAAAGAACTCTAATAAAACTCTAGTGATAAGATTTAGAGTTTTAATAGAACTCTAGAGAGAGAGAGAGAGAGAGAGAGAGAAAGAGAGAGAATAAGATAAGGATTGAAGTAGATAAAATTTTCAAAGGATAGAGGAAAATGATATGATTTATACCTATGTAAGCCTATCCTTACACCTCAATCAGCCGAACTTCAAATTCCCTCCTCTATTTCTTCTCTTCCTCTCTCTTCTCTCCTTTTTTTTTTCTTTCTTATCTCTTTCTCTTCTCTCTCCTATATGCCGCCCAATTCTCTTCTCCTCTCCCTCTTATATAGAGGGAGACAGTTATGGGGTAAGCAACCTCCCCACTCTTCATACGTGGGGTGGTTGCTTAACTCCCCCCCATAACCAGAACTTAAAATTTGAACTTATGTGGAGTGGGCCAGCTGTCAAATCTGCCCCCCCTCAAGCTTTATTTATTTATATTATTTTATTTTTTTTACATCATATATTTTTAATCATAAACATGCCTCTAAGTGAATAAAGTTACATTGATGGGTCTTAACTATTATTCAACATCTAATGCCAGAAGATTTGGCAAAGGTGCAGTGGGTATATGACACAAATCACGGAATTAAAAACATGTTTGGAAAAAATGGATATTTGCAGCAAAAGTACAAGGATTTTCATTACTGAATGATCATTTTTATGTAGAAATTCTTCTGCTGTATATTCTTCACTCTAGCCCATGCATTTGCAACCCTTATATAGAAGTTGTGTTGTATGTTTTTTCTCATGCAACCCGTCTCTATATTTTGCTTTTGCCCTTTTCGTAATGGATCTTCTTACAAGATTGTTGATTGAGACCATTTTGCACCTGGTGATTAGAATATTATGATTAAAGTTTAGCACAAATAAGCACTATTTTCAGCTCAGTCAATTGGAAAATGTACAAGCTTTTTTTTTTCCTTTAAATTTGCTTCATATTTCTACCTTTTGTTGGTGGAAAATTTATATTGCTTTCTAGTTTTGCATACTGTTTATGAGCAATATTTTGTGTTTATTCTCCACTTTAGCCTTTCTTTTCTATGATCCACTTTTCTCATTTAACATTCTTAAATATGAATTCTTATTAAGCTTTTGGATTGTGAAGTCACTTGCTCAAGGATCCAAAATGTTCTTGTAGCAAATGCTAGTTTTTGCCCACACTTAAATGTTGTATTCTTTAATTCTGCAGGGTACTCAAAAACAGGAGAAAAATGAACTACTTTTCCAACAGTTTGGTATCAACTACGACAAACTACCAATTATGTTCCGCAAAGGATCCTGTGTTTTAAGGCACAAGGTTTTTTTCAATCCTATCAAGTGAAAGTTATGCCATCTTCAAGTATTTTAAGAATGCCAAGCATCTTATTGTCCTTGCATGGTCCACCAATATCAGATTCTAGAATCACCTGTTTTATATTTAATACTATAGATTTTTGGATAGTAAATAAAATAAAGAATTAGCAGGTTGGGCAAAATGGAGGGGTGCATCTGGGCTGTCGAGAAACAGTTGTAAGGTCAGCTATGTTGTATGGAGCAGAGTGTTGGGCAGTCAAGAAACAGCATGTTCAGAAATTGAGTGTGGCAGAAATACAAATGCTAAGATGGATGAGTGGAAAAACTAAAAAGGATAGGACCAGCAATGAAGCCATTCATGAAAACTTATGAGTAGCTCCATTAAGTGATAAAATGAGAGATAGAGTAGGCTAAGATGGTATTGTCACGTGCATAGAAAACCAGCAACAGTTCCAGTTAGAAGTGATTTGTTACAAGTGCAAGGGGGTAGAAGAGCTAGAGGTAGACCAAAAAGGGCATGAGTAGAAGCAGTAAGTAATGATTTAAGCACTAATAATTTAACAGTGGATATGGCTTTAAATAGAACGGATTGGCGAAACAGGATTCATGTAGCCAACCTGATATAGGACTAGCTCAGTTCTTGTCCTTAGAGAATGTGAATGGTCTTGTTGGATCAGAATTTTATGGCTATTGATGGCTGTAATGATTTCTTGAAGGAATAAGAGAGAAAATAGGGAGAGAAAATACCTGGAATCACTCACAGGGTGCCTAGAATCACTCTAGGGCATGGGAATTACTCACCATAGCTAGCATAAGCTGAAGAAAACTCAATAAACTTCATTGCCTTTGTGTAAAACGTCCATACAGATTTATAGACTCTAAACTCATAATAATCCTAGGAGTCAAACTGTTGGACTCATAATAGTCTTAGGAATCAAACTGCTAGACTTGATAATCCTAGTAGGACTCAAACTAAGCTGTCATATCCTATTTCAATTCAAAGAAGACTCAATAACTCTAATCCTACTTATGTAATGACTCTGAAATTTTAAACATAAGCAAACTATAGCTAGACAAAGTAAACCCTATCATTGGACTTCACAGAAAATTGCAAAATGACAAAAATACCCCTACTGTTAAAAAATACAGAAATACATAAAATTTCATAAAATTCCAATTTTGCCTCTTCAGCTCCTGCATCACAACCCCATATAGTTGGGATCAGGCATGGATGATGATGATGAAATAAAATAAAGATTTTTGATTAAAATTCCCTCTTCATGGCACACACAAAAATGCAACTGCTGCTTAAGAACAACAGCTGAGGATGATGCACCAATCAGACTTCAGAATCCTCACTTCCTTTACCTCTTGTACTTTCCTTAGATCCTCTAGCCGCCTTAGGAAGTAACAATCTATCTTAGAAAGTTGGTCTTTTTCTTATGTTGCCTCTAACCATAATTGGCTTGTCCCAGCTGGAGCTACACAATTTGAACCCTTTAGTACAATTTTCTACAGCCACAGGGATTTCTTCCATCTTGGAACTTGGGTTCCACTCTACATACTCAGCAACAACTTTCTGCTTAGAACTCGTACCTTTCTCCAACTTAGCAAAGGTAGCTTATACAAAATTCTCCCTCCGAAAAAAAGAGACCAGGAGCATTTGAATACCAGTTTAAACTAATGTAAATTGTATAGATCATTGCAATTCATAAAACCAACAAATGGAAACTTGAAATAAAAATAATAAATTCACTCACATGGTTTTTAGCTTTTCTTTGGAGGGTAGGAGAGACTTTTTTTGTAAATATCTGAATAGTTTGGTCATACTCAAGGTGATTCACTTTTCAATAGGAAGGTTTCATGGATGGCTGATTTTATCATCCTCTCCCTTCTCTGTGTTTTCTTCCATAAACCTTTTTACAATGGGAACAATTCAGTGCACATTGGATGTGATGATATGATACTTCATTTCATATTTATGGCTACATCACCTTGCATGCAACTCTTCTCTTTAAATTTTCTGGCATGCTGAGTAAAAAACCAATATATTTTCTTTCTTTTCCCTTGTTAGGTGGAAGAAATTATCAAGTACAATAGAAGTGGAGATCCTGTTAAAAGATTACGGAAGAAGGTGATGGTGGGCCATTTCAATCTAGATTCACCAAACTTTTGGACTAAGCATCCAAGTCTTTTGGATGAATTGGGAGTACCTGAATCTCATAGAGAAACTTTGAGCAAAGTTTGGTCAACCAAATGCGAGAATGTGAAATCTTTTGAAGTGAAAAATAGTTTGATGCCGTCCACATGGGTTGTGGTTAGAATTGATGGCCGCCATTTTCACAGGTAAATGGCTTTTTTGCTTCAAAGAAGGAATTAATTTTAGGGTCTATCATTTCCTTAGAAAAGAAAATTTTCCATTGCGTTGAAAGATAATAAATTAAATTATTGTGAATGGTGATTTTTATGAAACCATCATGGATTACATTGATCAATTTCCATTGGTTTAGATGTTTAGGAAGAATGCATGGTGCAAAGGAGTTGAATTTATCACTTAATGAATCACACCTTGGAAGATCCTAGCTGCAAATATGTATTTCTGCAGATGCAACTCCCTGATGTTTTTTTTTTTGAATTAGTAAAAGTAACATTCAATAAAGAGAAGATTTACTACAAAGAGGATATAAGGTGCTGAGAGAACACCCATGAAAAACAAACGTGTCTTCCATACAGAGAGTATACATGAAAGACAAGTATATGTCTCTGTCATCTACTATAATATCCAACTTCAAGGGTGGAACATAGTGGCTTCTCCTAACAATTAGAAGAGGAAAGGTTCTAAGTTCTGTCTCCCTAAAAGCCATGCTTCATTAAACTCAGTTTTGATGGATGTAGCTTGGGCAACCCCAAGACCTTTGGGTATTGGAGGAGCTTTTAGAAATCAAGAAGAAGAATCTTATTAATCTTCTTAGGCCCAGTTGGGGATAGCATTTCAGTGATGAGTTTAGTCTTTACTTCATGGGTTGAGGCTGGCTTTCTCATTGGGCTTTACAGGTCTGGAAATTGAGGGTGATTCCCAAGTGGTAATTGGATGGTTGTTGAGAGAGGAGATGTTTTGTCCAGTCCGTGGCTTCTTCTCCATTGCATTAGAGGCACAATGTCTATCTTTCAAATCCAGATTGACCAGTGTTACATTAAATTTTCTCATCAGGGGGGAGAAGAAAAAACATGGTTGGAAGAGAAGTAAACTTCGTGACATTCTCAAGGTGGAGAAAATATCTGAAAGTGGAGGCTAAGGACTTTCTGCTTGAGGAGATGAGAATCAAGGGGCGCCCCAGTTTGAAGGTAAGGGAAATGAAGTTGGCAACAGTTTTGGTGGAAGGTTCAGAGATGGTGGAATGGCTCAAGGACTTTATGGTCAAGGCTGCAGCAAAGGGAAAGAAACCAAGCTGGAAAGAAATCTCACTCTGACAGGAAGAAGGTATGTACTGGAGTGCAAGAGAAATACAAGAGGATCCTTCATTGCCCTTTCTGAGTTTTTTGCCAAAAGGAAGAAACAAATGGTGTGCTTTCCTGAAGGTAAAAGGAGTCAAGGATGGCAAAGGGTTGCAGCAGAGCTGAATGCTATTCTTAACCACTGGAAGATAGGAAATCAGGAGGTTAAAGTAGTCGAAGCAGCAGACACCCGCTCTGATTTTCTTGGCCTTATACAGGACATCCCAGCCATGGTGCACAGAACAACCAACCCCACTGTCACTATTATCAGGAGGAAAGATTATTGGTAAAGCATGCTAATTGTTGAAGCCAAGAAACCAGTCTCCGATTGGAAGGAAGTTGCTAATCTTGTGCAGTGTAAGTTAAAACTTAGAAACACTTTCATACTAACTCCCTTTGATATCATTAAAGCAGTGCTTGACCCTCTTGACAATGTGGTAGAAAGTACAACTCTGAATTTTCAAGAAGCTTGGTGATCCTTTAGTGTGTTTAAGTGGATTCCATCATCAAACTCTAAATTTTTTTTTTCAGTTGAAGATGGGGTGGTAGTTAGGGTAATTGGGCTGCCTTTCCATCTTTGGACCCATGAAGTTGTAGCCTCCATTGCAGTCTTATGTGGAGCTCGTCTTGATGGGGAATTTGGGGGGGGGGGACCTTTGATCAGGAGCACTTCTCTTGAGTGGAGTTAAACCAGAAGAGATCCCCAGGAAGGTGACTTTCTATGTGGATGAATTGTTTATCTCAGTGTGGCTGGTTTCTTCCATTGAAGTGGCATTGTGGAAGGAGGGGAGAAAGGAAGAAGATGAGAGGATGGAAACACAAATGCTACATGGAAATTTGGGATTAGAGAATCAGTGGTTGGACAGAGATTACACAAAAATGGATAAACAAGCTTTAGGCTCTTCGAATGTTTATGGAAATATGGCAAATGAAAGACATGTGGCTGAAGAAACTAGACTGGCACCTACTAGGACCTATGCTCAGGTGACTATGGATGGCGCCAAAAGAGGGGTTTTGAATGGTTTAAACATCTCCATGGTAAAAGAAGGGAGCAGGAAGAATAAAACGGATGGGTTGGTATCGAAAAGGGGTGAACTGCTGGGTCAAACCAAAGGAGGGGTTAACTTAAAGGGTTACATGCCGGCCCAAGATGAGACCTCTGGATCTAATGTACTGCCAGGACCCATTGCTCCTGAGATTGGAGCTGGACCATTTAAAAAGATTTTTGGGTTGATTAATGGGCCGGGGGTAGAAGGCCCATCTGTGCCAAAGGCACATGATATCTTAAAGCCTCACGTGAGGGAGAGAGTTTTTACCAGATGGTACCAACCATCTATCATCGTCCTCAAATGCGTGAAGCCTCGATCGAGAGCCCTCTCAGAACGGCAGTTCTATCCAGTGGATTCCAACCAAAAAACTCAAAAGGACTCTCGACAGATCGACGTAACCCACCCAGTATTAAACACAGCAAGTTTGAAAAGATTGAGCTGGATTTCTCAACGGAGGAAGAAGCAATATCTGACTCTGAAACTGAGGATACTGTTAGTCTGGGAAGTGTGGATTTGCGGCAGTTGAAGGATTTCTATGAAGAGGATAGTCTAAGCACAGAGCTGTTGTTCTTAGAGGATGCTGCATGTGATCCCTTAGCAGACGATAGTCTCAAGTTCGTATGTCACCAAGAGATGCGGTGAAATTAGCAGAAGTTGCAGAGGATTTGCAGGGTACACCCTACCCAACAACAAGTGATCCCTATCCAGAAGTGCAGCCCTTTTGCACCAATGAATTAGAGGAATAGGAATCACTCTGACTTTTGAACACAGAGTCAGCGGTTAGGGGAAAACACTCTAAGGTGGACTTGGATGCCATGTTCAACACAGTCAGTCGATCCTGGTTCACTTCCACAACTCCCTCATGAAAAAGGATTGGGCCTAGACCCAATTCCAATCTCTGGAACCTCAGTTCCCCTACCTTTCAGTCCTCACCCTTTGGGCCAGGTATGTTTGTCAATTCAATTTTGGTTACTAATGAGGGCTCTTTGCCTGGAACAGGTATTCCAGCGTCCCAACTTGAAGGAACAACCACTAGAGGAATCTCCAAGAAAGTAGGAAGTGGTTGTGTAGGGGGAGTGGGAGTTTTACCATTGGAAAAGAGGCAGGAGGAATTAGAGAGAATCTGGGGGTCAAATCTGCGATCTTCTTGAGAAGTATGAGCAGTAAGAGGAATTAATGGTGGAAAACTCTGAACAGGCCGAGGAAGTTACAGATCTTTTAGACGGCCCACCTAAATTTAGGGTGAAGGAAGGGGAAAGAGACAATATGGTTAAGGGTTGTGAAAAGGAAGAGGAGGACTTATCTTGCAAAAAGGAGCAAGAGGAGGAATTAGAGAGGATATGGGAACTAATATGTGCTCTCCTTGAGGAGTACAAGAAGAAAGAAATTTCTTTGGAGGAAAGTGAAAAAAGGGCTGAGAAAATAAAAGTTCCTAGGGAGCATCAAGGAAAACTTGGGGTAGAAAACAACTAGAGGAAAAAGAAAAGAACTGAAGTGGAAAGATTGATCTCAGACATCGAAGAGAACATCGAGTTCAGTGGGAGAGGGGAGAGAAGGAAGAGTTCCAAGTAATGGGTGGCAACTCTAGGTGGGCTCTCAAACAATTGCTCTTATGAAAATTATTAGCTAGAATGTGAGGGGTTTAGGCAGCGCAAGGAAGAGAAGGCTAATTAAGGACCTCCTTAAGAGAGAAGCCTGATATTGTGATGATACAAGAGACCAAATTAGCTGAAATTGACAGAAGGTGGGCGAGAAGTGTTTGGAAGAGTAGAGGAGTAAGATGGGTTTCCACACCTTCTTGGGGGGCTTCAGGGGGTATAGTCACTTTTTTGAGAGAAGATTTTGTGGAGCCGTGGAGGAGTTAATAGGTAACTTTTCGATGTCTTTGAAGTTTAGGATGGTGGAGGATGGTTTCACATGGGTGTTAATCAATATGTACGGGCCAAACAGCTATAGAGAGAGAAATGAGTTCTAGGAAGAACTATACGGTATCCAAGGGTTATGGGAGGGTCCCTGGTGTTTGGGGGGGATTTCAATGTATTTCGATTTACTGATGAATCAAATAACCCGCAACAGTCCATCACTACCAGCATGAGAAAGTTCAATGATCTCATTAATAGTGTTAGAATGTTAGAATGAAGTCTCTTTGTATGAGTGTTCGGCTGATAAGAGTTCTTATTAGCCCATACTTAAGTTTAAGTTATCCTGTAACTGGGCCTGTGTTAATGGGCCTAAGCCTGTTTAATGTTTTAAGTTAACTGGGTGTCCCATCACTGATCAGGGGCATTCCAGTAATTACTTGTATCATTGTACTACATTCAAATATAAATAATAGCATGGTCGACTAGCTAGTACAGTTCGACATTCACAGCATATCAGTGGTGTTCTCCTCTTCTCTACTTCGAGTACAGCTCTCAAGCTCACATGGTATCAGAGCACTAGCTTCTCTTTGGTTTCAGCAGGTGCACTAGCTTCTATTCTCTCTTCTCTTACTGTTCTTTCCATCTTCTTCCTTCTTCTTTTCTGGGTTGCTGAAAAACTAGGGTTGTAATAGAACAAAGCAGATTCGAACCTAGGGTTTCCCTTGGTTGTAGGGCTCAAGGGAGGTAAGGCCCAGAAGTGGATGTCCTACTAGGTT